AGTAGTAGCTTTTGATTATCTTAAGAACACATATTAAATCTGGGGTGGGCGGTGAAGAGTCGGTAGCTCACAAGGTGAGGTCGAGTCTCCATGAGGGCGGCAACAGCACAGCAGGAAGGGAAAACGGTCATGAGGACGTATTATGTCTCTATGCGACTACAACTGGTTCTTTACCAGGTATTTAAGGTGTGGTGATAGCTGAAAAACAATAGGAGTCGGCAAGTGTCGAGGAGGAGTTCGCGAATACGGTAAATGATGATGAGCTGCTAGTTCGCTAACCACTTGGTCTTCGAGCACTCCGGTGTAGCCTAACCCCTGAATAGGGGCCAAAGTACTCTCCGGTGTATCGGAAAGACCCACAGAATGAAAAAACGGAGCTGCAGACAAATGGGGTGTTTAGAAAAAAGGGAGAGTGCCGGAATCGACCCGAGCCATTGTGCACACCCAGGTGTTGTTGCCGAAAAAGGATTGAAAGTAGAGCATATGAGTTAACTCCAGGAACCGGAGCACGATTAATGTAACGCAAAATTTTCAATGCTACAGAGCTGAGAATTATTTAATCGCCTACACGGATCAACAGTCCAGTCGACATTTGACTTCACAGGCGCCTGTTTAGAAGTAACCATTGCCCCAGATAGCAAGCACAAACCCGCCTTCCACGCTGAGTGTTGCAAACTCGAGTCTAGCTGTCGTGGAATTTTCAATTGCCCCAGTTGACCTGCACCGTCAGAGAAGCGGGGTTTCTAGGAGCTTAGCAAGCAGGGATGGAGTGGCTGTGTACATCGACACGTCTTCACAGGCAGCAAAAGCGTTCAAGAGCACCTACAGCACATCATACGTGCGCCTCAGCTGTTTCTCAGAAAGCAAAGGTAATCGACTAAACGCAAGTGTACATTTATCATTAGTTCGAATGCGTTTCAGAAAATCTATTTCTGGCTGTAGGAACGGAGCCAGATCCGGCAAACATTGAAGTAATCAAGTCATATCCTTTACCTTTGCGCACCCAAAGCGACACTTGGAAGCTCGTCGGAAGTGCAACTTGTTACCTGATTTTCATTTGTGGGTTTCGCCAGCAGCCATGAAGTCATCAAAAAAAAAAGTAATATGTGAACTAGACAGGGAAGGCTGATGCCAGCGCAAAAACGCTAATTATCGCCCTCAAAACTTTTCCGGTGTGCAGGGTGGTAACGTATGAGGACCAAATTTTCGTAATAGCTGATGGCAGTGACATAACTGTTGGTGCGTCTCTCTGTCAATAGGCTGCGGACTTTCCAAACGATCAAATTATTACTTGCTATTCTAGCCACTTCAACGATTTCAAGCCGTGATACATAATTCAGGAATAACAGCTCTATGGGGCTTGATGGAGGGTAAAAATTGCCGGCACTGTATTTATGGGATTTATTTTACTCTCCAGATCGACTGTCAGTCTCAACTTAATCCTGCAAGTAGTTTTAAAACGTTGATAATCCTAGAGCTCTTTACTGCCTACGGCGCCCCCTGAATCACGACGTTGCAGTATGAAATATTGCGGTCTCCACCAAAGTGGTCACCAACACGCTCTCATGACATCTCAGCGCTTCACTATTGTGAGGCACAACCTTTCCTTTCTGCGATCATTAAGACTTTCTATCGACATCACGTAAACCTCATGCATTTGACACCCATGTATTCGCTTATATTGCCAAAATCAAGAATGGCCAAGAAATGAAGCACTTTCACGCAGAGGATTGCTGCTGTGGTCCCCAAAAATCTAGACTTCCGCCACCCGTCCTTTCCGACTTCGCTTCGCATTGGGGTTTTCGCAAAGCATCAACTTTATGCTTCTGCACGACCTGATAGGACTCACATCTTAATGGGAAACTCGCTCACTACTTCTGCTTACCTGGGATACTTTCTCCGGCAGAGGAGTATACAATGTCATGCCCCGGTTGTCAGCTGCTGAAGTCGCCCAATTTTCCGTAGTATGGCCTTTCCTTGATGTCGTCTGTTTCCTGAAAGTATTTGGACTGCCTTGACTGTGGACAATATTTTGGAAAGCCCAAGGCCAAGTGCCAAGATAGCGTCGACGTCATTGTCGGTAGGCTCAGCGAATATGCCCATTGCATTCCTTTGTCCAGCTCTGTCACGGCTCAAACATTCGCTAAATTATTCTAAACTTTTGTCTGGAAGCTTTGCATATTTCCTTAATTGCGGTACGGAAACAGAAGCTCGTTATTGTGTTCGGGTGTGCCTTCATGGTCAGCCTGCACATAGACGATAGTATGACTTCTGTGAACTATCCTCGGGCAGATGAGCAGACAGAACGCACTAAAAGCACACTTTTCCAGCGTTTGCGACCGTATGATCCAACGAATTTAATAGCTGTGGCTCATATCTTCGTGCTGAGTGGGTTAATAAGACAATAGTATGCTCGTCGAGCCATTCCCCCTCGCATCCAAGGTCCACAATGAGGAGCCCTTCGCCTATCCAAGCTTAGGTTTGGTGGTTCGGAGGCAGCCACCAGCCTTGGCGGCTGAATACTGTGGAGAAAATATGACTAGTGCACGCAATGTACACGAAAAGATCAAGAGACAAATATAGAACTGTGATAAGTGGCGCTCTGTTGTGTATTTTAAACATAGAGCCATGGTGCTGGTGGGTCGGCAGGCTTTTACGGCGCGTCAGAAGAAGAGCAGACGAAGAGTTCTGTGGCCAAGTGACAAGGACCAGTGTGGCTCTTGCACGAATCTGTGCTCTTTGCCACCCTGTCGATATACTTTAAAGTAGGAAGTGCCATAGGACCACCAGTAGGGTGCCTCCGGAAGAGGATCTCAAGCTCCGCGCATCATTCGTTGACATTGCTGCGCAGGCAAGTGACCCATGCAAAGCCGGAGCATCCACAGGGGGCCGTAAAAATACTTGACCATAAGATTAATAAGCGCAAAATGCACTTCTTCGAGGAAATTTCTAGTGAAATCGGCTGGAGAATACCAGCTTCAGTGACTAAACGAGGAGCCGCTGCGGTCTTAGTTGCTCTGTTTAGCTTACAATGCTAATCCCCGTGGATGATGATCCTTAGGATTCTTGGTACTTCCCCTTCCTCCGCTCACGATTTGCCTGAAATAGCTACCTTCACTTAGGGGTATCGCACTAATAGCTTCGGGCTATCGTTGCCGTGATGTTGCCTAGACTCACATTTATGCGCAGACACTTTCAGGTTTCTCTTTTTAGCAATCTTGCCTGTGCGTCTTTTGGGGCTTTGAAGTCGATTGTGCTACATGGAGCGGCAGCAATTGCATGTAAAGCGTGTTCTTTGAGACGCGGAAGCACTATTGAAGTAGTGGTACCTTCATTTTCTTTGCCTTTCTTAGATTCTTCTGTTTTTCTCGAAGCAGTGGCATCACACACTCTATGTGCTCCAAAGATAGCGAGCCATCGTGCCAGTGCTGTCATGGTGGTCTGATCCATCGTCGTTGATGGACAATGTGTGCTCACTTCTTCGTGTCTATTTTACGTGAGTGGCTGATACATACATTTGCTTTTCTCATTTGCACTGTTTTCGCGTTTCTGCCTGCCGGCGGAGAGGAGATAAAGCGGTAACTGTTCTGCCTATATTTGGTCTCGACGCAGAGGTAGAGAGCACGAGAACCTATGGCTGGGTGATGGCCAGGGTCAAAGGGGGAGGAAGCAGATGTGATGGGCTAAACGCCACTCAAACACCTTCTGCTACACAAGCTATGTTTGACTAAGAGTTAGTGACGAACTGCACAATTGGCTCATCTGTGCTTTTAATTTTGTTTTCTGCGAAGTATTGATAGCACGAGACAAGGGATTGCAATGTAATCTGCATGTATGGTAGCTACTGTGCCTAATTACCTGTCAATGCTTGGAAGGCTTCAAGAATTCAGCAACTCCCTCTGAGCACTCCTTCTCCGCTCATATAGGAACTCTGAGGGTTCCGAACAGTGGAAAGGGATGAAATTTTTCGATGAATACCCATCAACTTCCTAACAAGTTTGTTTTGAGTATTGAGTTGAGTGTCCTACGGACGCTGTAGATGGAGCGTTAATCACACAATTGCGTCGAATTATATCAAGCTTTTAGTCCTCTGCAAAAATATAAGCTGACAAGTCAATCTGTCAATTATTTATTGATTACCAATTAAAGGTAGTGCACTAGGAAATGCCGATGTGTAGTCAAGTCCGCTACCCTTGCACCAAGCAAAGAGATCGACTGGTTGTCCATAAGCTACAATGCATGATCACACAATTCATCCACCCTACCAAATCTAATACACCAAACTTATATATGGAATGTATGGAGACAGCAAAGGAAGAGCGCGAGCACTTCATACAGACAGGGGCTCAGCACGGGATTCAATTCCTTGGTTGATACCTCGATACATCAAGATGCACGACTATAAAAGTAGCTGATCACTGATCGATGAGAACATGAATGCGCGTGCAAAGCTATAACATCATCTAGCGTATCATATTAAGTTTGCTGAGAGCCAGCTTGACGGAACGGGCGACGATTCATTTTGGGGCTTTGAACACCCCCACATAACAATTCACACCATAGCACAATCCACAATTTCGAAGAGACACTGGTGCCCACCGTACTTTTTGGATCATCGTGTTGTTTTTTGTATATCTGCGGCACTTTCATTCTTCTCACTCGAAAATGGTGCGTTTGTTGTTCCTCCTTGAGGCACACTCTTCTTGTAGAATGTGACGGGCTATACTCGTTCCCACCTATACTATCGAAATTCCTGTAGCTTTAATGGGAGCTTACTATCTATCTATGCTCTTAAGATTGGTGTTTCTCTTTCGGATTCCGTCAAATCTTTCGGAGAACTCTGCACGGGGTAGTCGACGTGTGGGTTGGGGGAAATGGCAACTGTGACAACGCTGGTTGGTATACTGCGTTGGTTGATCCAGGCCCTTAGTGCTGCATTAATTACTTTGTGCATAGGATGAGCCATCTCTCCTCACTGGGTCTTCTCGTATACTGGTGTAATGCAAACTTCCCGTCTCCCTGCGATAGCATGCCTACATGCCCGTCAATTTCAAACAGACTACGCGCTACACACAGTGCCTTCGAATGAACCTCTGAATTTACCTGTCTTAATAAAACGCACTGCTTTCGCAGACCCCGATTTGTTGTGTGACAAGACGGGGGCTCGCAGTTATGTACCATGATTTGTTGTTGCGTTTTCAGAAGCTGCTTTGCCCCAAGGATGAGTTGTCCTGCCAGAAGGTCTTGATGACTGCTACATTTGCGAATGTCAAAGTTGAAACCCCGGCTTTTGTGATGGGTATGTTTAGGCGTATCTTGCCACAGAATGCGTGAAGGCACATTCTAGTTTGCTGTAAGTCTGGTCTTTGGTATGAACTGTGCTTTCGATCTTCAGGCAAAGATGACAAAAAGGAGTGCTTTAAGAGCAAATACCCGTTTTTCCGCTTGCCGATATTGGAGACTGGGGAGGGGCCAAGCCTCATGGGCTCCAACACAGTCTGTCGCTTCCTTGCACGAATGAGGAACGACAAGCGCCTCTACGGGGAAACGCTGCAGCATTCAGCAGAGGTGGATATGTGGCTAGACTTCTGCGCAAACGAGCTAGAGGTTCCTCTACTTGCGTGGGCAGCTCAGAGCTGCGTTGCCAACAAGGCCAAGACCGATGTAACCATCGCTCTCCGGGCAATGAATGAACATCTGAAGCTCCGAACGTACATGGTTGGAGAGAGAATTACAATTGCAGATCTTTGCCTATGCGTTGTTGTTTGCTTTGCGACGTCGAAATTCGGTTGTGACCTTGTTAAGCCCTATCTTGAGGTTTCACGTTGGATGGAAACCATCTGCAATCAAAAGCCCTACAAAAATATCTGCCCGACCACTAGCAACAAGCCCTGTGTGGCTTCGAGCTCTGCTCAAGCCGCGAAGCTGGATGATGACGGGAAGAAAGCTGAGGCTGCGGAAGAAGTCCCCCCGCCACCCAAGCCAAAGTGTGAGTTGGATCATCTTCCACCTTCCTCGCTTGATCTGAACGAATGGAAACGCGTGTACTCTAATACCAAGGATCTAAAAGGTCAGGCTATGCCCTGGCTGTGGAAGAACTTCGACGCCGCTGGATACTGCTTCTACTACATGAAGTACGAAAAACTCGAAGGAGAATGCACCGTTCCTTTCCTCACATCTAACCAGCTTGGAGGTTTTCTTCAGCGTGTTGACAACAACTTCCGTAAATATTCGTTTGGAGTCATTAATGTCGTTGGCAAGGATTCTAGCTACGATATCCAAGGCGTTTGGATGTTTAGAGGCCAAGATATCCCTCAGATGATGAAGGAGCATCCATCCTTTGAGTACAATCTATGGAAAAGGCTGGACCACACAACTACTGCAGACAAAGCCCTTATTGAGGACTACTTCTGCAACGAGGATGAAGTTGAGAAGACCCCAATTGCCGACAGCAAAGTCTGGAAGTAACCAGTGAAGGTTTTCCAGGGTGGTGGCAGTGGAATTTAGTTAGATCCATTTGACATTAGGGGGTCTCATCTCACTTAACTACTGTTTCAGGACTGTCACGAACTGCCACTATGAAAGATCAAACTACCAAAGCCGTTCTAACCCTGCATGTGCAGAAGCCCTGTGCAGAGAAACTGCGGCCGAGGTTTCCTCATGTAGGAATCGTGTTGCGAGTCTAGAAGTACGCGTACGTACTGCAGTGAAATTTAGCTTTTGGATACTCTGTAGCGTAATCTGCTTAGTAGCAGCGAACGGGTGGCCTGCTGCGGGACTGCACAGGTGTGGGATAAGGGGGCTAATTGTATTGCAAGTTTTGCTTGCTGCGAAAAACCGGTGAAAATAGCCCGTTGTGCTGCTCATTCCCGCTTTATTGGCTCTATCGTTGGCTAGCGGGAGTGCCGAAGTCATTGCTGGTCTACGACTAGTGGCTTTTATCACCAGACACCTATGTCTCCGTGCTTGGGGCGAATATTGGCCTCTCAGTAAACCGGGTTTACATACAAACCGAAGCTGGGGTTTCTTGGGGGGGATGATTGAGTAATGAATACCGTCGTGCGGTAGCCCCACGCTGTTACTCCACACTGGGCTACAGGTTCATAGAACACGGTGCAGCTTAAACCAGGTAATTTCCACAAAAACATCTTGTTTTACATCTACAGAATTTTAGTGAAGCTAAATTGCGCATGTTTATGACGTGACCAGCGTGTGCAGCGCCACACAATTTGCCTTTACAGAGTCCCCACTATGTTGGCCGGCGCGCAGGTGGCTTTCAAGTGGTTGCTTCAGTGGGGGCCAACATTAATTGCTGGAGCAGCAATAGCCCTTCTCGGGAACTTTTTGCTAAAGAAGCAATATCGAAACCAGAGGTTTGCGTCCCAGATTGGGACCGCTGCCCATGGTGATATCGATACAGAAAGAAAGCGCGATATTGTTAACACAATCAATCCTCCGTAGGCTTTCTTGTCGACCAAGTCGCCCTCCACTAACCCCTTCACCTTTCAAATTGCTTGTCTTTAAGTGTGCCCCGTCGTATTGGGCTGAGGTAAATTACACTGTGTTCAGTACTCTCCATGTGAGCGCTGCTGTGTTTTCTTCCGAATAACGCTCTACAGAGAGGACAACCTTAAGCGCTTTACCTTAGATGAACTGCACAAATGTAGAGGGGGACCCAGCAACGATTTACTTGTTGGAATCCAAGGCCTCGTGTACAACGTAGGGGCAAATGAAGCTGGCCGTATGTTCTATGGTCCTGGAGGTAAGGGAGCCCTTGGTGCGCATGAAACATTGTTTCTGCTCGTCTTATCTTGCCTGCATCAACATTCACGCATTTTTGTTTGCCGGTTTTTGTTTTCATCCCTACTTCAGTGGCTTTTGGGGCCAGCCTCTGTGCCTCACTCTTACTGCTTTTTCTCGCCCTTTTTTAGTGATGCGCCTCCCATCCTTTGTCTGAATCTGTGTGCGCGTCTTTTACGCTATGTGTATGGTCTCTACAACTCCGCTTAGCCGTGCTGTGTAATCCCATTCACCCTGCTTATCGTCGTGATATTCCATGTAGCTGGGTCTACCGTCGGATTCTACTTTGCTTTCTTCGCTTGTTCGCTCTCACAGTCACTTGCGCCTCGTTTGCTGTGCCTATATGAGTATTGCTGAGCCATTATATTCTTTTTTTACGTCCTACAAAGTATATTTGGTCGCGCTCATGTCCGTCAAAAATGTGTGTACTTGGTTTGCTGACTGTCAAGAGGTTCTCCCTGCTTACTTGCATATCTAGCTGAATATAGTTAGAGGTAGTAGTCCCGTACGACTACTAAGGACATAGTTGCTTGTGCGTGGCGGTTGCCAGGAAGCTACCATATCTTCGCTGGACGGGATGCGACGGTGGCTCTTGCAAAGATGGCTTTAGAAGAGGGCATGCTCAACAGTGTGAGACTCGCTGCGCTGATGCATACTGAGACATTTTCTAGTTTGGGCAGCAAATAATTACATGTAGCGGCTTTCTATGCCCAGGCAGGTATTAAGTAACACCCCGTCGCGTGCAGGCATACGTCATATATAATGAGTGGGTGCTACATAATTTAGAACCAAATTGGTAGCACTCACCCTTGAATCCGTCTCAGGTTCTCCCTCTTTCTCACCCTGCAGTATTGTGATCTCACTGGTTCTCCTTCTGAACTTTCTCGCATGCGTCTGTAGTGCATCTACTTTTCTGTATATGTAGTTGGCTTCACCAGACGTGTAGATGTTCATACAAGCATGTTTCAATACGCTGGCACACTGGCTCTCATATTATCGTTGACCTTCACATGCGTTTACAGGCCTGAGCTTGTGTGATTTGCCATTTGCACAGCCACCGGCCAAATGGGTTCTCTTATCTAATGAAGAAAGAAACTGTATTCGTCAGTGGGCTAGACGGTGCTGTTCAAAGTATCCTCTGGTTGGGGTCATTGACTTTGGCCAGGGTGAAAATGAAGCTGCTTCGAAGTGGCGGGAACAGATTGCCAAACTCTGAGAACGAGGCACCTGATAACATACTCACAGGCGAGGGAAAATTGATGCCCCTCACAAAGGCTAATGGGCAAGAAACGTAGCATGTAATCGCGTACAAGGTCGAACATTATATCGGACTTCTGTGCTCGCAAGGTGGAGCAACATTTTCGTCATGGCTTTTTTTGACGATGTCTAGAGGCGGGGTGTTCACAATCTGGGGTAAAAAGGGTGATCGTTTCCCACTGTGCCCCTGACTGGCAGTTAGTTTATGCTCCTTCTGTAGACTTTTCCCATTGCTTCCTCAACATTAGAAAATTCCACTCTAGAAGGAGGGAGGGGGACATAGGAACAAGTAATTGCACCCTCTGGGCCACGCGGGGGACGGCAAATAGGTACATGCGTTGGCTTGGCAGAGAAATATCAAACATGCATTGCTAGATCATGCAGTTAATTCTGCTTTGTAGCGAATAGAAGGCCAATCGAGTCATAAACCTACTTTCGAAACTCTTACCTGAGTACGAATACTATTGCAATCTGTGTCGTGTAGTTTGCTCCACCGCACTTTTGCGTTCCCATGCGTTTCTGTATGTTCGGATGAAATTGTAATCGCATGTGCATGTTGATAGGGAGCAGAGCAGATATAGTACAACTGAGTGGTATTTTCCCGCTGCGCTTGATGATGTCGCGCACTGCGAAAGTGACGGCACTGAGTCAAGGAGCTACATTGACGCTTTCCATCTGACTGTCCCAAGCACTATTTTTTGAAGGCCGCATACAGCTGTGCACCCGGCTGAAGATCCACTGGAGCAAACAACAGTTCCGTCGTTCCAAAAAGGAGCAGCTTGGAGAAGGGTTCGATTGTGGTGGAGTGTGTGTGACGGAGACTGACCACTTCAAGTAACATGTGGGCCCGATCTCTCAGGTTCAGACAGATTATGGCTTACGGATTTCAACTGGCTTATTCTCCCAGCGCTGCCCCCACCTTTTCAAAAGCTGATACGGTGTGCATCGCCACGGAATATGTAAGAGGCCCCGCACAACTGATGCCTCGAATGTCATGTAGGTCCAAGATATCAATATGTTTCATATAAAGGTTGGGTGATTTAGCAATAAAATACAAAATGAAGTGTGCATTTCCCAATGGTGTTCCCTGCTGTCCAGATGCGGGACTGCGGGCTTCCCAGAAGGTCATAGGAGTCTTTTCCCTTGTCCGTGCTGTTTTCTACAAATTATTCGCACTCTTTGTTGTCAAAAAATGCTTTATCGTAGGGTGATCACAATTTTTTGCGCCGACAGCGGCGCCCTGTTGTACGTCGCCTTTTAATCCCCTGTTGTTCCACTAAGACCACTTGACAGCCCTCTGGAGGGAAGGACACAAAAACGAGCAAGATAAAGCCATCGTCCTTCTGCATATAAACGGCGGGGCTCATCTTTTTTGCATTTAATCAGTTATATTTATACGTACAGGGACTACACGCCGTGTGGAGGGGGTGAATTGCCGTGGTTATGTGTGCCATATCGATTAAAGACTGGGCAGGAAGCCGTCGCGGGGGCATTTTTCTATGTTACCATCTATGAGGACGGCTTGTCCTTTTTGGATGAATCCTGAGGGCAGTTCTTTTGCATGGGGCATGTTACTAAGTGGCATGTTCACTATTCAACAAATTAAGTTGTTCTCGTTTGCCAGACATATGGGCAATTAGTGTTCTGAAACCGTGAATTCCATAGTTTCAGAGAGTTCAAGGAAATGATGGACGAAACCGCGAAGACCAAACAGGCGCTTAAGCGCGTAAAGGCCCGCATTTCTTCAATGACGGCCCTTCGTGCCACCGCCACAACTTTCCAAGTGTACGCAGTTGTGCTTCTCAAAATACGCCCACACACAGCGTGTGAAACTGCTCATTTTGACTGGCAGTCAACAAAAGGCTTCATGTCTAAAAGTACAATGTCGTCGTGTGGGGCTCTACAGAGTTGATCCAAGCAGATATGGCTACGAGGCAGAGGCACTCATCCGACAAGATTCATTGCGCAGCCACTTAGGGACCGTATGTATCTCATAAGACCCTTTCGTAATCACCTGAAAACCTAAATCCCGTTGGTTCTACGTCGTGTAATCCTTCAATACATTTGCCGAGTTTGGGGCACGCAGTAGAATACATGCACTTTTGTGTACGAATCTGTTTTGTTCAGATGGTGGATGCGGAGGGAGCGCGTGTAATTTAAGAAACACTATCCTCCTTATTTCCACCTTCTATAGAGACTAAGCTATTGGAAAAGATGCGAAGCCACTGCAACGTTGACGTCGCACATTCCAATTTATGAACAGTAGGGCGCCCATATGCGAATCCAACAAAGTACCATTGAGTGGAGCTTGAAACATATGGGCTTGTCTCAGTCTCAGGTACTAAAAGCAAACGATCCAGAACACGACATCCTTACGAAGCCTCCAATGACAAAAGAAGAAAAGCGTTTCAGCAGGGGCCTCCTTGGCACAGTGGCCAGATTCCACAGAACTTGCAGGGTATAATCTCAATATCTTATCTGCCTCCCTTTTTGAGCATCTGGTTTCCTCTTTGCTTGGTACTGCGGCATTTCCATTTCCAGTATCACCATTCTTGGGCACGTGTCAACTTCGCCTGCATCGTCGTGCGATGCATTCAGGGTGTGTGCGTGCGGTCCGGCGATCCACGACATGAAGAGTGGGGCCGTGTTAAAACAGCAGATTTAAAGCTTACATATGCTCTGCATCTGTTGGAAAAAGACATGGAGCACTATAGACATATGCATAGAGAGGTAATTCAACCCTGTGAGTGCGTACTTATTGCTCTGAAATAACTCTTAACTGTCAACAGTTGGCCAGGGCGGACAGTCTGTTATTCTCTCACGATTTGCATGCCTGTACGTGACTTGTCAACGAAATTTTGCTTCAGGCAGAGAGATCTGAACGCGTACGCGGGCGATTAAAGTATTTTCAGGCCCCTGTACCAGCAATTCGCATTCCAGAGCTTTGGCTCGAGTTCCCTGAACTCGCAGCCGCACATGGCTTGGAGCAACCACCAGCAGAGTGGCGCTCCGATAGAATTCTTGGATCCTTTCCCGAGCTTTGGAGGGTATGTGCTATGATTACTAGCACAGAATACCTAAACTGCAGCGGCAATGACAGACTAGCTTCTTTAATTTTATGCTGCGATCATGCCACAACTAGTGTGTCGTCGCGTGTGAACAGCTGGAATCAACCTTCACTCTGACCTATACATATATGCTTTGTGCAGTCTTTACACGCGGCGCGATGGCCAGAGATCGAGACGCAGACTCTTAAGAGGAAGCCAGCAACGCGGCAAGCGCCAGTCAAGCCAGGTACAGCACCTTCAGCGGGAACGAGTGCTCCTCTGGCCTCCCAAGCAGAATCTTCCAAAGCCTCTATGAAGCCAGCAACCACCTCGCCGGGTAAATCCTTGCCACTTGCAGGAGCAGATTAAGCTTCTTCAGCAGCCTTGAATAGTGCTTCTCCTCATTCTTTACCTGGTAAAATAACTCATACGCTGCCGGGCATAGCATGGGACCTTACTGCTTCTGCCGCCGCCGCGCCTGATGTAGTGCAGGGAAAAGCAGGCTTTCCTGGTGCTCCAGTAAAAGCAGCACCTCAGATAGCACTTGATAAGGCCGTATCACCTCAGGAAACTGTGCAATCTGCAGGGGCCCCCGCTTCGGGGAAAGCACCACCACCTGGTGGTGTGAAAGGTCCTCCAGCTCCGGGGAAAGCACCACCACCTGATGGTGTGAAAGGTCCTCCAGCGTCGGGGAAAGCACCACCACCTGGTGGTGTGAAAGGTCCTCCAGCTCCGGGGAAAGCACCACCACCTGGTGGTGTGAAAGGTCCTCCAGCGTCGGGGAAGGCACCACCACCTGATGGTGTGAAAGGTCCTCCAGCTCCGGGGAAAGCACCACCACCTGGTGGTGTGAAAGGTCCTCCAGCGTTGGGGAAGAAGGCGATGCCTCCTCCGAAAAAAGCATAGTGACAGGCAGGTACAACATATATATGGTAGCTTTGGTTTAAATTACCGCCACCACTCCGCGGGGGCAATGTGAGGTGGTGTCCTAAAGAACGTGTACTTTTGCATCTCAACGGCAAAACCAGACTAGACACCTACTATCGCGCCTTCTGCACATGACGGATTCACAGCAAGCCGAAGGCCCCTCCATGTGCAGTTTCTTTCGTGTGCCCAGGTAGAAGCTCATTTAGAGTACAAGAGGAGGAATAATGGACGTTTTAGGATGCGTTTTATAATACGGGGTAAAATTGGTCTTCTGCAAAGATGCCCCAACAACAGACATCTGACAGTCATTGCCTGTACCAGGTGATGCAAGCCAATCTGAGCTCAGGCAGCCAACTCTCAAACCACTTATTATGGTTAGTAAACCTTTTTCTGTATGGCTTGATGTTGCGTGTATTCCACTTTTCGCACAGTACGGCTAGTGTTCGGTATATTTTGTACATCACGATTATAACCTAAGTTGCAAAGATGTCCCAGTTTCTCCTTCCCGCTTCAAGCAATTGCAGGTCTCCCAACCCCTGAGAGCTTTAGAAAACTGGTACCAGCACTAAGGTAAAAGGATTACGCTTTGAAATAGTACAAATAGTAGAGAGTCCGTTGTGTCGTATTATCAGAAGCTGCTGCACTGAGTGGTGTTGTTATGATTGCCAAGGCACTGGGCTTCAAATACTTCTACACAAAAGCCAAAGCAGGTTATTCGGAATGGGCAGTGCGACTTAGGAAGCAGCGCCTGAGTGTCACAGTAGTAAAGCTAATATGCCCATATGTGTCTAGATGCTTTCTTGGTAGCTAAGTGCCGAAGTTGAGCACTTCTGCCGAGTGAATTATGACCTTGCACGCCCCTGACCTATAAGGGCCGTAAGGCCCTAAACTATGTTTATGCAGGTGCATGGTTCCCTAAATCATAGACGAATAAAGATTGTGCTTGACTAGACTGATTTTGGGGAATGCCGTCGATTCAGACTTCGCTATAATCACGTGGTATTCCTCCCACATTCAAGCTTGGCAACGAAATCCAGCTGAAATGAGGGTAGGATTAAAGAAAAAATGTATTTTCTCCTACCCGCTTTTGGTTGTAGAGGCACTGATGCTTAATGAACCTATGGGGGTGCTATTCCTCGAAACCCTAACTTGTCTTGCAGGCAACGTTGCATGCGCAGACCATTCTTGATAGCCAGACAGCTTGTAATGTTGATTTTGCATACAGGTTAGATCTTTTCCTAAATAATTGACGCGCTTATGCCATCAAAGGCTCTTGAGGGTCTGAGTTACAGCCGTGCAGCAGCCGGCTCAGTGCTCGTGAACGAAGGAAGGAAGACTAATCCTGCCCCCTCATCTCAAGACCCTGAAGGACGAGGACCTCGGGAAGCGAAAGCTCGTCTGACAAACTCTGAGTGAGGTTCTACTGATTTGGTGTCGAATGCGGAACTAAGTGTACCCATACTGACACACTAGATGAATTGTGCCGTCTACCGTCTGCGCAGGGAGACAGCTGATTCCAGAGTCAGTACAAACTTAACCGGAAGTTATTGAGTGCTTCTCACAAGAGCTCCTGCATGCCCCGCATGCGCCTCCTATAGTTCCTGAATTGAGAGCATTGCTACGGGAAGAGTGAGCGGTATTCCACCCTCTTAGCGGGTCAAAGCTACTTGCACACCCCTTCTAGCACGCAAGCATACACCATCGTGTCTTGTTCAATCATGATAACGCTACATTACAGTAATCATGACACGCGAAGAGTAGTAATAGCTAGAAAACTTTTTGCTAGATTCTAAATAAATATAACTAGTACTGTAGAAAGTGTTGAAAGCTCGTTTAGCCCGCCATATTAGATAGAACGAGACCCCCAAAACATTTTACTACCAATTCCTACATAATTGACTAATTATTTGGCTGCTCATATATCTTATTTATTGAGGTAAAATTTTAGCTCGGTGCAACAGTGTACAGTGCTGTGAACACTCATAGCCAGATGTGTGCCTCTAGCTTTGAGCGCTCGAAGTGTTAACAAAAGCAAAATTCGACAACAGGCACCTAGCCGACCCCCTCCACTAACATTGAAACTCCCAGTGTCAATGACGGGGTAAAGAAGAGGTTGCTCTCAAGGAAACCGTTTACATTTCTTCCAAGTTCTGTACTTCGTTGAGGGCTACACGCCTCTTTCCGATAACCGAACGGAAAGGAGCACAGCCGTCAGTTTGTCAAAGCTGTCGGATTCGAAATCTCCTCACCACCACCCTCTATATTTCCATGTGATTTAGACAGAGAGGGGAATGTTTTTGTGCAGCGCAGCAAATTTCCACTTCGTTTGCCCATATCTTTCTCATGATGAGCTCTTCAGCTAATGCAGAGGTGTCTATCGTTCTGTACATGCATATCCAAAGGTGCTCCTGCCTAACAATTTAAAACGTATATTCCTTTATCGTAAGACACTACGAAGGTGCAAGCTTTATGGGGAGGAGTAATGGGAGTCTACCACTATGACTCGATGCGTGGTCGGGGCCTCGATACAAACAAGCCAGGGACCATGCAAGAGCTGCTGCATCGAGATTTTATAAGACCCAACAGCGTATCGGAAATGGTCTTAAGAGCTTTAGTGATGGTGTAGCTTAGCAAAAACGGATGGATTCTAGTCCTTTCAGTGCGCTTCTTCTTGGATGAAGGACGCCCCAGCCCCGAACCAGGTATGCCAAGTTCCGCGTTTGGGGTAGAGTTGAGCTCATTCCTGAGCTGAAAACGAGTAATAGCTGCTGGGCAGAGACCAGCAGCTTGCAAAGCAAGTGTAGTTGGAGCAGTCATTTACTTGAGGCTGAGAACCTGGCTATGAAGGATTGACAACATGGCAACGGATGCGCCCTGAGCCCCACAAGGGCCAGAGGCGAGAGGATAAGCTAGAGCGAAGAACAGCAATATAAATTAGACGCCCTACTGTTGATAATACTCCCAGGATAATTACAAAGTCGTGTTTTGGTCCAACCTGCTCCACCATTTCCCCAGGCAGTTCTAACGTGAGTCTGGTGTGTGTAGTCTGCTGTGAACATTTTTTCCTAGCCCAAGCTAAAGCTGTGAGTGCCTCCTTCGATCAAACAGCAGAGATTACTGTGTCCATCCAGAAGTGTAGCATATGATGGGCTTGAACTTGAGCGCAGGTTTCACGGCATGGATGTCTACCTGCGGTGACTATACGCGCCTCCAGAAGCCAAAGGATGGAAGCTTCCGACTGAAAGACAACAAGGCAACTTTCGAGAACTACTAACTCTGCCTCTTCGATGAATTCTTGGTCTGCTCTAAAAGGCTCCCATAACCAGAGGCTCAGCCGACAAGCCTTCAGGCTGTTGATTTATTCACGATGGGTGACCCCGCGTCTCCTGCCCCCTCCAAAGAGGGATCCTGGGCCTTTACCTCACTGAGCTGGTCTCGTATGTACAGCTGGTGGAACGGTTATGTTCATTCAGATAGAAACACCGACATCTGTGGGTGCACTCTTTGGACTTTTCCCTCTCTTACCTCGAGAATTTCAGTGGAGCACGGACTAAGCAAGTTATTTCGGTGGCAGGCAGAGCTTCTAAGCCTTTTCGCGCTGCAAAACTGGCGTGTGAAGGTTGTCACGCATGCTCTCTCAGCTATGCAGCGGCCTCCCAGCTTGGTTATTGTACAATGTGGATACCAGCAGCCAAGCCCTGCAGGAGCCCAGGAGGCGAAAGAGCTGGGAGGGTATTCTCCCGAGCATAACGTAATATGGATATGTGGCAACCGCCTCTGGTCTCCATTCAATTTCAGACGGGTGTTGTTGCATGAGTTGCTTCATGCGTTTGACTTCGCGCGTGCAAAGATCGACACTGATGACTGCAGCCATATTGCGTGCACCGAAATCCGTGCCATCAATCTTTCAGAGCAGTGTGGCTTGTGGGCCTCGAGAAATCTCACACCAGCTGTCTTGGATCAGCCGTTGGACAAACATTTGCTGCTGAAATACTCGGCGTGGAAGAGTCACTCGCTTCACCAGCAAGCGGCTGCAGCTAAGATGCTTTCAGATGAGGCGGCTGTAGCGGCTGTGGATGCTGCTAGGATAGCAGCAGCATCGGTAGGCTCCGAATCAGCAGTAGGAATTGCGGCAGAGAGCAATGCTGCTGTGGCAGCGTTAAACAAAGCGGAGCAGCTCGCTGCTCGTACTGCAGCATTTGCAAAGGCTGCACAGGCCGCCGATGAGACTGCCGCCACCGTGGCTTCCCCGGATGTACCACTTTGGGAGAGGAGCAAGAGGAACGCATGTGTTGCAAGGCAAGCCTGGCTTTCCGTGCAGCAACAGCCGCAATGCAGGCATCATGGAACTGCGGTACGTTGTGCATTACAAGTGGTGCGTGGTGTACGCTTATCATAGTTGTCTCGTATGGCACTGAGCTGCTGGGCTGAGGCTTCTCACTTTCCACGGTAGCACATGGGGATAATACATCATAATATCCAGCATGCTAGCTGTGCAATGTGCCCGACATTTCCATCGCAGGAAGCAGCGGTGGCCTCGGTTTTCAGCAGGTGCCTTGCTGACACTTGGCCCTTTGAGCACCCTCCAGAGTTTGACTCCCGGTTTCGTCCTTCACGTATCTATGAAGAACACTCCGAAGCTCTATTTGGGCTATGAATTTCCTTCATCCTCACGCATGGGTAGGCTTGCCACAGTATCCATGCGCATGGAGGGGTTAGGTGACCTTGCCGGCACATGGAAAACAGTGCCACACAATATTTAGAATAGCCATTGGTGACAAGCACGTTGGGATCTAACAAGCTGGAGCAGCTTTTGAAGATGTTTTTCTATCTGTGGCGTCCGAATGCGTCTAACGGTGCGTTTGAGGTACAATTAGTGTCTTAACGTAGTAGAACTTCCTATCTTAGAATTTCATCAGGAAGGGCAACCAAAATGTCGAGATAGCAGTACACGATTATTCCGGTAGAACTACTTTTTCTGCGTTGGTGCAGACGGAATACAGGATAGCTAAGTAAAACATTGCATCAGAATACAAGCCAGAATTGATTTGTTTCTCGGCGGCACACCGGTCTGTTTACCGGGCAATTTTTGCGTTTCCTCACGGTTGTTTCGCAGCATAAACCACCTGTGGCATCCATGCTGTTGTGCGCATTCCCCCTTGTCTGGTTGTGCATTGCTGGCTTGACAGTATTTGGTGCCGGCGTCAGCAGCGCGAGGTGGCTGTGGAATAAGATGGAATGATGTGGAATACCTCAAATAGAGGGCAGCGCAGCACACCATTAGGTGCAACGCTACGCAGAATGCTTTTTTTTAGGACCGCCAAGAGTGACTGCACCTTGTGGTGTGCTCCGGCAGCAGAAAGCAACTGTCCGGCACAATTTGTGTATTCGTACTGTAACAGCGACGTTCTTTCTGGTGTACTGTCCCTACCTGAGGCTTTTGGGGCTTTGCCCTGGGGGGAAGGTTGTTGCCGTGGTGTAGTTTGGGCGTTCGTACTTGCTCTTTTGGGAGGCTGACGTTAGCGGAATGGTGTATTCACGTGTTGAAGCAAACAGTGGTGAGGCGGTGGATCCGATATTTGCTAAGTCGACCTGCTGTGCCATGGCGTCTCAAATCTCATGCGTTTACGGCACACAAGACACCGGTACGAAGCTGAACTACCGGAGGTGCCCCAGGCTTCCACGCCTAGTGACCTTGTCCGGTCTCTGGAAGCAAATAATTTCCCGAGCTAAGCCGCTTCTCCCTTCACCCGTGAATGACAGCCAGACTACTAATAAGGAGCATATACAGCTTGATTATCTGGCGTTTCACCAGGTGGTATACCGTACGCAAGTTTCAAGAGGTTAGTTTGCTGGTTACTGGGCAGGATGACGAAGTACTCCTCCAGTAGAGCACGCTTCAGGAGGAGAGAGCTTTGTGCTATTAGGAAATGGGGAGCTGAAGTTGTGTACTGCTGCTTTTTGAGGTGCCCCTATTGTGCCACCCTAAGGAATACCGCTCTTGCAGTTTACCGCAACGGGCAAGCCGTATTCGATGCTTTCATGCTGGTGAGAGGAATACTTCCTCAGTCTAGCCCGCAAAGTGCATTGGTAAATCAGAAACATGGTACAATGCTGTACAAGCGGCCTAGTCATAATAAACCAAACGAATGCACCCCCGTGAGTGGTAGGGCACGAAGTTGCGTTCTGACGTTTGCAGTATTTTCTGGCTCTTCAGTGGCCATACGTCCCCTTCGCATGTATATGAAATAGGGAGTCCCGCCTTTGCACTACGACCGGGATTTTTCTGCCACAGAATGCAGTTGCTAGCACAAGGTGACGGACTGCAACCAGTTGCACAGATTAATAACGCTCACACACTGTAAGTTAGCTACTGCTGTGGCTTTATGGATTATTTGTCACAATATTCTTATGCACCTCTCTGCGCTATGGCGGATACCTGAGTGATATGGAGCCAAGGAAACACAGTTTCTTGCTCGTTATGGACACAAAGTTTTACTTGCCTACAATGCATCAGGCCACACTCTTAAGTGGACTTTAAGGAAGTGTTAATGTTGTTCAGCTTTCAACGTGTATTCCAGACTTTATTAGTGAGTAAAAGCACCTTTCTACATTGTCGGACGTGTAGATATGCAGAAACCTTAGTAGTGGTGGAGGATCAGTTTTAGAAGCCTAAGAATATGGGGTATTTGCTCCAGTGGCTAATGGCACTGTTCAGGCGCTCTACAAATTCTCCCCCGTGCAAGCTGAAGAATCCTGCTTTCCTGTAGACGGACGACGCGACATGATCGGTAGAGCACCCAATCTCGTACAGACCACAACAGAAAAACGACCCATAACCATTGTTGCACTGTAGCGGCCAATGCTGCAATTTTAGAGTTCCCGCAGAAAAAATTGCAAATAAGTTTTAGTCCGGTTTTGACTGTATGAGCTGTATATTCTTTTTGTTGTAGAGTAGGGCTCATTCCGACTTTAGTGAAATGAATTCAATTTGTCCATTGCATATTACTTCTTGTGCAACTGCATGGGAACACTTGAATTGTCCAGAGCATGCAGAAGCAGTAGTTCCAACTGTTCCCTCTGCACTTATGCTGGAGCCATGTGGAATAAATGCATGGATGCTGGTGTGCTTTTGTGAGGCGTGAACTGAATTTTTTAGAACTTGACAAAGCTGTGGGGATAGGCTAGCTTCTGAAACCCCAGGATGACAACTCCACCAAAAAGGGCCCTCATGTGTAAAAAATGCAGCTAAGCTCACTGTGGGCCTTGCCCAAACTTTTTTACCTAGAAATTTGAGATGCGCCAAGTTATTCATCTTCTGTGTGCCCTGCAGCATCACGGCAGTCAACAAGTTTGCACACGCATGCTGGGTCGAGCCGTGAGAAACCCTGGCAAGCGCAAGTGGGCTGTAAAGCACCTTTCAATAGGTGCTGATCACCGTAGGAAAGCCGTAGAATATTACCGAAAGGCGCGACACGAATTCAAACAAAAGAATTTTGCACAGAACTGCCCAGCACTGATGGTGCTTGTGAAAGCGGCAAAAGCCGGCTTGGTTGGACCTGTAATTCACTTGCTAGGCACAATATGAATAGAATAAAATCGTGTCGACTGCAAAGAACTTTTCGATTACAAGCTGTACAGTTGAGGGAGAATGCCATGTGGCCGCTGCTGCATTTTGATTGGCACGCGGTATTCACGCAGCTGCAGTAGGGCCGGCAAAAGGGAGAAATTCTGGGACTTGATTAGCGAAATGGTGCGGCTGCAAATATAACCAAGCTAGACCGATTCTGTGATGCAGCAACTAAAACTTTCACAAGCAAAGACATCACTGCGCACTCAATACGAATTTTGTAGAAAGTTATTGAATGCCTCTCCAAAAGAGCTCTTTCCTTCCCAGAAGACAAGCAAATACATGTAAGGGATTGCGAATAGACACTAGTTCAGCGATGATTTTATGCCTCAGAGTTATGTCTGCATGAAAGTACAGCTGGTGTATGCAAAGCAGTCGATTTCCAAGCCCAAAAGCAAGAATGCAGAGAGGAGATCGACGAGGACGACTGCGCATGTATCCAAGTGTGGCAAAAACCTTCACAATCATCAACTGAAAACTTCCAAACAATACGCGTAGATCGACATAGGTATTTCAGGCTGACAACGTGTGTAAGGGAGGACGATAATAAAAATGCTGGAGGAGTCCCTTTCATGGCGAATAACATTGCGAACTAAGCTGGGCCAAAAACTCTCCTGTACCCAACGGGTTTGCATGCGCTCCGTCGTCGGCCTTTGCAGTGAGCGTGACTCACCTTATTTCACAGAATTGACCTCTATCATCGCTGTAACATTCCATCTGTAAGGGGCTGAGCTTTACTTCGGCACTTACTTCTACATTAGTTGTATTGTACAGATATTAGCTAAGAATGAATGATTGAGTTGTCCGTTCGTACATCTCATCAATTGCAGAGTAGCGCTGACTCGCTGGCACCAGACGCGATGTTGTGTGGGTTTGTTTTAGATGCGATCTGCAAGTGGGTGCGCTTGAAGTGCAGTACGGATGCAGCTACACGCACCCTGGCTGTCCCTTTCCCCTCCTGTCGGAACGCTCAGGGTTAAGGTAACGGGAAGGAGGCAGGGTCTTTGAGACGACTTTAATGTCTTTTCAATAGCCTGCTTCTATTTCGGAATCAAGTGTTCTCGCTTCGCTTACCTTTAGTGAAAGGCTACAACTGGTAGAGTGCATGATACGCTCGCAACTCCCCCTTAACCCACTGGCTTTGGCTGGAAGTACAAGATCTCCCTACGACTGTTGTCTGGAAGACCAATAATTAATTTGATTGGCAACAGTCTAGGGGAAAATACAACAGGTTGGAAGTAGCAGTGGCTGCTCGGTGGGCAGAGGCTGGCTTGCGAGCTGGTACACACACAGTACTTCCAGAGCCGGTAGAAAAGCATGCTTCATGAGCCGATAGTATTATTGTGGATGCATTGATGAGATTCTGGTGACGTTAAAATGATGGCACCCATTATGATGTGCAAGTGCTTCGAGATTTCCTCAGCCGGTCAGAAACGTACTTCGTTTCGTACCCCGTAGATGACGAGAAAAGAACACTCCTGGGGGAATGTTAATTGAAAGACAATACACTCTAATGGTGGCTCTGATCATGCCGCAGAATTCGTCGGTCTATTGGAAACACAACAGTCCAAGCCTTCATGCAAGCCGTGTCGCGTCAATTTATGCCAAAGTCAGCTCAACAACATGCGCTGCGAGAGTTGTGAAAGGTGAAAGACAAAAACTTTTGGTAAAATGGGCCTACAGTGAAATAGAAAAATTTGGTTCTAAAGACACAAGGGGGAAGAACACTAACTCGATTGGTGGTGTATCTCAGGTGTACCGAAAGTGTCTGATAAGGTGGCCACAGGGTGGGCAGCAGCTAAGTGAATAAACAGCCAGCCGATGAGACTTCCACAAATGCCGTACTAACCGATATTCAAGGAGCAAAAGAGCGTAATCTAGGAGTTTCTAAGGCAAGAGAAGGAGCTTACTCTGGATCTAGCAGCTATGAGAATATCAGGGTAGTGTCAACCCTAGCCTACAGTCCAAGATGGACAAACAGGAAGTGCCTGGAGAACCCACGTTTCCGGACAATTTCATACAGTCCC